GACAAATGCACATACTCATATAATCGAGCAAAAATAACAGGAGCAGTATGAAAGAAAATTAACCAAACCACTCTATATCGATCTATCTAGGTTCTTAATTTTCATTTGGCTTAAGTGAGTCTATATAAGAAGTAAAATGAAGCCGTATAGTGTTCTTGGCCTAGTGTTAACGTAAGACTCTTAAAAGAACGACACCCAGCTCTGATGATGTCCATCATATGATAGACGAAAGCTCAGCACGTTTTCACCCGAACCGAGAGAGGAAGTCTCGTGGGTTGCGTCAACATGAATATCGTATAAAAGCCAAAAGACTGCCGTACAACGAAATTCATCCGTCCTTATCTGGTGAGATCGACCAATGAATATCTTCTTTATGCGCTTTCATCCAAAATGGAGGTTATATTAAAATGTTTTTTTAAAACCAAGTTTATCTGCGTATCTATCATATATACAAATATAGGGAAATAATTGAGAAATAAATTTATCTATATTTAGTAAAAAGTCACGAATGGTGGCAGTATATTAGCGACAAAAAGACGAATATAATTTGCCTTAAGCATATATTAATATAGAATTTTAATAATAAGTTAAATAAACTATACTATTAATTTTAGAATCAAATGGGTACAAGATGGAGACATTAAACTTCCAAATGTAAACTCCAATGTCATAACTGTGTCGAAAGTACAGCACAAAGATTATTTGTATGATACAAAGTATCGTGATAGACTTAATTTAATATAAGTTTGCCAATATAATTTAACTTTTAAATGGGTTAAAGTATCTGCCGCGTGTTTCAAATAGATTTTTATTCTGCCTTGTTGCTCATAAATGGATTCATCCAACAGCACTTCCCATGGCGATGAAGATATGAATAACGGTCAGGCTCATTCTTCAAGTTTCTCTAACAAATCAAATAGTCGGCATTCATCTTCGTCTGATCATTCTTCATCCCGTTCACGATTCCACTCAAGATCGCGATCAGCCTCGCCCGCATCAAGCTCACTTTCTAAGAAATCAAAATCACGTTCATATTCCCGTTCTAGATCTAGAAGTTTTTCTAATTTTGATGAGGACAGAGATAGTGGGAATAGTGATAATCCTCGACGGAGAAAGAATCGTCACAGATTGGTCAGAAGGTCCCGCTCGACTAGTTTTACTCGTATTCCCAGCAAAGAAAATGTTAATTCGGCAACATCGAGTGGTTCAAAGTCGCGATCTTCAGCATCTTCGTATCGCTCTTCTCGCTCAAATTCCAGTCGTTCTCGATCTCGATCTCGTTCTCGATCCATATCTCCTTGTCCTTCTGCGACGTCCATCAAGTCATTCAATAAAAGAGATCCTAGAGATAAGTCAAAGCGTGTCAAGTGGGATAATGAAGTATTTAAAATTTTTTGAAAATACCTTTAGTGCATTATTGTTGGTCGGAAAGCTCTTGGTTCGACAATACACTTCTGCGAAATATGTGATCTACCAATTCTTGTTTACGGCCGTCTTGTAAGTCTGAATGTTACTCTACTCTTACAAAATATTTCTATTTAAAATATAGTTTGTATGTAAATTTAACTTTTTTAATCTTTGTATCACTACTCTTAATTTTTCTTGTCTTAGCTTCCTTGCAAGCACGTATTTTGCCATACTTGTGCTAAAAAAAGCCCAACAAAATGTCAACAGTAAGTTGCTTATTAACTCTTTTCATAATTATCTTATAAAAATTTAACCATATCATTTTTTCAGCTGCCAAAAACCTGTTCAAATGATCGATCGTGCGACAGTTGGTGGGATTTTCATGTGTTTTGATGGAGGCAAGACTTGTCGCCGAACTTATTTAAGCCAACGTGATTTGCAGGCCCACATTGACCACAGGCATCGAGGAGGAATTCACGGTCTTTCTTCAAACAAGAATTCTGCAACAAGTAATATTTTTTATTTACCTATGTTGCGATTAAAACGTCCATTGGAACTTCTCACTTTTAAAATACTGATTTAAAAGTTTAAGCTTTCCAGAAATTTAA